CATTCAAACTACATAGCGGAAGGAGTGTCGCATCGATCGTTTCGAACAGTTCGAAAACAAGTAAGTTATTCACTTGTGAGCCGATGCATGGCCGGATTGCGTTACCGTACCCATGCGGTACCGTACTTTTTTAGTGCCGTACCATAATCATTTTCTACTAAGCAATGCATTAATGTTTGTTTTTATTTGAAACTCCTGTCAGAATATACTTTCCGTTACGAAGAAAATTAAAAAAATAAATGCATATTACATTAAATATACAGAGTATTTTTTTTTTCATGTGAACAGTTTTTTTGTGACGTGACGCTTATCACTCTTCCCCGACATCTAAATTGGAGTTAGCTTATATTCAAAAGATTGTACGGTGTATTGTTTGTTTTGTGCAAGTGATGTGGGGAAAAAATTATGCCCATTTAGTGATTGCAATATGTACCTAATATAAACCGCACCCTGAACTTGAGCTGTTGATCCCAATTTTTTATTTGATACATTGTAATATTAAACCGTGGTTTATAATAGGATTTTAACGGTAGTGTTGGATACAACTTTATCTAGTCAAACACCTGCTAAGTAATTAAATCTTTTGTTGAAAATTGAAATGAATAATGAAAAAGTTGATAGGGTTATCACAGTTTATTTTCTGGATAAATACAAAAAACATTCAAGCATTTTTGCATGACTTTTTAACCAGAATTATGGTGTCGGTTTTTGCTAGCAAGTATTCAAATCTTTAGAATGCATAAATTTATCAAAAATCACCAGATCTATTGTCCATTCAAATCAAATTTACAATCTGTGAAAAATCAGGATTCTGATTCTGTTAATATTCATATGATTGGTCAATTTGATGTTTAGAATAGTAAGAGATGTACACTAATTTGCATATTGATAGATGAATAGTTGAGCTGCTACGTCAATTTTTTTTGAATGTTTGTGAAATTTTATGTGACCATTTTTTTTTCTGCTCAGTAAAAAAATAGATGCTTGGTAGCCATTTGAATATGTTTTGGTATTTCATAGTTGACTGCATGAGCTCTCAAATTTCCATAGAAGAATTATTAGATATAGCTACTGATACTACAAAGTACCAAAATGTAATATGATTAACATTGGCCACTAAAATGTGTCTACTGCATCCCTTATGGATTTGTTGTTTCTCTGCAGGAGGATGCCCAGGAAGAGTTTGGTTGGAAATTGGTACATGGTGATGTATTCCGTTCACCAAGACGTGGAATGTTGTTGTCTGTTTTACTTGGCACTGGTTCTCAGATCTTTTTCATGACTTTCATAACACTTGGTATGTTGATATGCTAGTTAACTCTCAGTTTTGTATTTCTCTATTCTGAGTGTTGTGATCTGTATACAAGTTTGCACACCTGATCAACCAGCAACAAATTTGTTTCACTACTAAGGCCACACAGATTTAATTTTATGGATGACATCCTCTGAAGACCCCAAAACTAATGCGAGAGGGCGAAAAAAAAAAATTCGGCCCCCCCAAAAAAATGCTGCTAAAACCACAGGATTACGGAGCTATTATTACGAATTTAACCACAGTGTATCAAAAAAACAACAAGTCTTTATTTGTAGGAGGCACATGTTGATGTACACATTTCGTACTGTATTACTGTCACAGGTATCATCACCTTTGATTTTGAAAAGGCAAGAGGATAAGGCAGATGTTAGCTGTGCCAAAGGCATACACATCAACTCAATAATAAAGAAAAACTTGCTGTGTTGTATTGAAAAAAAAATAATTAAAAATGAACAATAAGTTTGTCAACATCAACCTGGAAATTAACTTCTTTGACATTCAAACTACAGCTTTTAAAGTGACACTTCAGATAGACTAAGTGTTGACACAAATGCTCTAGAACTACTTCAACTATGTAACAAATTAGGCTCGATATTGAAAAAAACACACCAACGTCACCCCGCAAGGGGACTTCGGCCAAGGAGCTTCTGCTGCTTTCGTTGCAGTTTTGTCGACTTCAATGTGGACAAAGCAACCAAACTGACTTTTAGGCCACCATACACCTCCACTCCTCTCCCATTTCTCTCATCATTGCAGAAGAAACGCGGGACAGCCACTCTGGACAATATGTTCTCAAAGTTTTCTGGGCGAAACTCGCTTGCCGCTACGGACCTCTCGTATATAGTGTAAACGTCTCCCTGGCCAACGTCAATTGCGTACCAGTCTACAACAATCCTCCGTTTCACCTCTGAACTTTTATGCTCACGTATTTTGGTGGTGTGGTCGCCATGTTGGATCATTTATGGCAAAATTTGCATGTTTTGAGGCAATCTCTTATCCATAGGTCTTTGCGCTTTACGTAACGCGCATCTAACTGTGCGGAGTTTGGTTTTGAGGTAGTCCAAAACGAGTTTTACGACAAGTCGGCGCTTTGCGACAATATGGGTCGGCAAGTTCCGGACAGAAAACCGATCTGTGGAGACTCGTCGGAGAATTTTTTTTTAATTTTTTTTTGAGAACAGGCGAAAACTAATGCGCGCGCGGATGTCATCCATAAAATTAAATCGGTGTAGCCTAAATATAAATAGAAAACACCAGTTCTCAGCTCCAGTCTACATTTAGTGTTGATTCTGCAACATGGCTTAAAGTGGAGCTACTGAATTATAAAAGTGTACATAAATATTGGCATCCTTGGTGTATACAATAAGTTTGCAATGTACAGTTGTGAACACAGTAGATGGCAGATATAGTCACTATGTTTCTACTGATCATTGTGTATCTGAAACATTAGGAACTATATTACAATCTACAGTCAAACATGTATAGTGACCACCCAATAGAAATATTGAGATTTTACTGTGCAACAAAAGCATAAACACAGCTTATCAAAATTATAAACAAGACTAATTATTATTTTCGTTTCTAAGCACATGGTTTTTATAAACATATCGCTGGTTTGCTGTGCCTTGGGACTGCCAAAATTTAGTCATTATAGACAGGTGGTTCTTTATATAGAGGTAGTTGCTCACACAAGTTTGACTGTATTTGCGCATTGCTTCTGGTTTTTAGTCAAAATCCACCAATTAAATTTTTACCTTGAAAGATCTTGAAATGAGTTCTGTATGTATAATATATACTATACTATACTATTCTGTTTTGCAGTGTTTGCTTGTCTGGGATTCTTGTCGCCTGCCAACAGAGGTGCTTTGATGACTTGTGTATTGGTACTGTTTGTATGCCTTGGGACCCCTGCTGGTTATATTGCTGCTAGAATATACAAAAGTAAGTGTTCATGCTAAAAATTGCAGTTTACTGTTTGTCAGTGATTGGTTTTCAAAAATCTGATTATAAATTCTACAAATAATATCTTGTGATGCCTTAAAATAAATATTCCAAAGTAGGAGTGATAAAATCTTGCCATGATGTTCACTTACAGTCAATTATGTATGTATTTGCAGCTTTCGGTGGTGAACGTTGGAAGACTAATGTTTTGATGACTTGTTTCTTCATTCCTGGTATTGTGTTTGTGGACTTTTTCATATTGAACTTAGTGTTGTGGGGTGAAGGAAGTTCTGCTGCAATTCCATTTAGTACTCTTGTAGCTCTGTTGGCATTGTGGTTTGGAGTGTCCACACCCCTCACCTTCCTTGGAGCTTACTTAGGATTCAAAAAGAGGGTGAGTATTTTAACACTCTTCATTGAGAATACATACACATGTTATGCACCTGATGTTTTTGTCTCAAGATTTTTTTTAGTTACCACTTCTGTATGTATGGGGTAATCAAGATGTGATTAGTTTAAGATTGAAAACTGTATATTTATTACCTCATTCAGATATTAAAATTGGTAAATTTGTGAATTCTTCAAAATTCTTGGATAACATTAGGGTTAAGGTTGAAACTGTGCTTAACAATTACCTAATTAGAATAAATTTTCTTATATCTCATTAACCACCTGTCATCAGATTTAACTTTGCAGCATGTGTTCTCAGATGAACTAAAGGACAGCCCACCACAGATGTACAATCAAATTTGTGTTGATATTGTACAGTTCACATTGCGTATCTTTAAAAAAGCGTTCTAATACAAGGAATAGAGCAGTTGTCATTCTTATACATGTAAAAAAGCATGCATAATGCATTTATGTTAGTGGTTGAAGCCACTATTTGTATTAGCTAACAGTGTTCTCCATGAGGGGTTTTAGCAGGGCGCAGCTCCCTGCATAGGAAGTCGTACGCCCTGCATAGGTAGTCGTGCGCCCTGCATCGGTCAACAAGCGCCCTGCATTCACATTTCCCATCCCGTCCCCATCAAATGCATTGTATTGTTAGTTGAGTATTCAGTGTTCTTCATGAGGGGTTTAAGAGGGGCAAAGCGCCCCTATTTAATTTATTTGCGCCCCTCTTTAATTTGTAGCGCCCATCTATTTATCTTCAGCACCCTCCTTTGTTTTCGGTGACAGGCTGTTTTACAGTCCCGGAAGATGTCCCGACGATGTTATTGAGAGACCTCTTAATAATTGACAGGCGATAAAACAAAGAACTAAGAGACAGATAGTGGCATAGGTGACAACTAGGACAATGGATTTTATGTCTGGGGAAAAACTGGCTGAATAAATAAACAAAAAACAATGAATGGATGCGTGAAGTGATTGTCACAAGCAATGCGTTAATCACGCAATGGGATAGTCAAAACAAGTTTTCTCATCATTCCTGAATTAGCTAAGATACTTAAGAACCGGAGAACCAGCAACAACTTATTGGTCCAATTGCTTGTTACTTGCCTTTTATTGGTAAAAAGTAAAAAGAATCATCAAATAAATCACCAAAACAAAACGTACGTTAAACACTGAAACAACATGGATGTCACGGTATCTGGTTTGACCTTTGTCCTCAGTACCCACAATGCAATCAACATGATGATTAATTTATTTACAGTCATTGGATTCGATTTTTTCTTTTTTTCTTTTAAATGGTAATTTTGTTATGTGAAAATATTTTTCTTCTTATTACTTGGGGTTTTCAACTATTACAATATCTCAGTGCATTTATAAAACCTATGGAAATGTTTGAAAGAAATTTAAAAGAAATAAATGAAAGGCTAGAATTTCACAACTTGTTCCATTACACTTTTACAAAGAATAAAATTGATATTCTTCATTTGTCAAAGTTTATATTTTTTTTACACATCATGTGGTTTAACTTATTCATCAAAATAATTCAAGAACATTAATATAGTACTTGTACACAGTATTTAATTGATGTAAATATAAAAGTGCTAAGAATTTCCTTTGAAATGTTTGATTAGTATGCTAATTATATGCAAATTAAATATGCTAATTATATCCAAATTAGCACCCCTCTTTAAATTTTATTTGTGGAGAACACTGGCTAATCTGATTGTTTGTTTTTCACTTAACATACACTTTTTCTTGATTGTCAAACTTCTTTGTTTTTTGCAGCCTATTGAGTTCCCTGTTAGAACCAACCAAATTCCCAGACAAATCCCTGATCAATCGTTCTATACTAAACCATTACCAGGTATTGTGATGGGTGGTGTCTTACCATTTGGATGCATCTTTATTCAGTTGTTCTTCATTCTCAACAGCATATGGTAAGTTTAGTTGAGGATTATAACAATGTCATGATGTATAGGCTTTATTTTATGTTATGTATTAAAATGACTGATTTCTTGGCATTCATAATAACAGTAAATGCTCAGTTCCACCTCACTGTGTAGATCTTTGCAATTATGAAAATGTGAAACATTCTTCAAATACCTTACACCACTATTAACTGTATTTGATAGGTCCCATCAGATGTATTACATGTTTGGTTTCCTCTTCCTTGTGATGGTTATTTTGATCATAACTTGCTCTGAGGCAACTGTATTGCTTTGTTACTTTCATTTATGTGCAGAGGTAAGTTGTATTTACAATACAGACAAGGGTTTGTTAGTCTGTTTCACTGTTTAATTGATGCATCTTTTAAGTAAAAATAAAACTAGTAAAGAGTTAGTGCACTTCAAAGCTATGTAAAAAAAATACAAGCTTCTGTTGATTAACTGATTAAATGGTAAAAATATCTTTGTGAAAACATGTACTGCTCACAACAGTGAACTGATGTGTACAGTACCATATTGCATGGAATCAATGGATCAAGCACACGTGTACTGCTTGGTTAATAACACGTTTCCTGCTAGTTTAAAATTAACAAAATGACCTAGCTAGAAACGATAGAATTGTGCAGTTCCATGACCAACACATTAATTCAAGAAATCTGCCCTGAATCATACAAATTTTGTTTTATCTTTGTTGTGTATGGAGTCAAAATTTATGTAGCTGTCAATCACAAATTAGAAAAAAATATGTAGTGGCGGAATATCATTTTCTAAAATTTATATGCATGTTCCTGGGACCAGTTAGAATGCAGTATGTCAGCATATGGTCTAATTTCCACGTGGTAATTTCCTCCCTGGTTGGAAGTATTCATACTTTCACAGGTATTTCTTTCATAGCAATAATATGAAACCAAAAAATTATAATTGTTTCAGAGGCTTACAAATATACATCTGATAGATTAATATTAATTTACATGTGTCAATATGCTACCATATAATCTTACATGTGTGCATCTATATCAGATTATTCTATATTCCATTCTACTAAAATACTATAATTTATTGAGTCAATACTCAAATCAAATCAAATTAATTTAATATTCTTCAGTTTGTATACAATTTTTCAGCACTCACAGTTGTGATTGATGTTTATCGGAATTCTTAACATGGTTATGGTTTCCTTCATTGTTACCCACAATGCTGAATTAATTACAATTTTAGAAACTCACTACAGTTATGTGTAGTGCCAGCGTGGCCACTAATCCTATCAGCTATGTTTTTACTGTGGCGCGACTCAATAAATGAGGTATTGACTACATGTATGCAACTGGTGCATATTAGTCATCACACTTAATGTTTTAATTGGTTTATAATTTTGTAAAGTAATTTGCAAATTACTTAATGTAATTATTAACATATTAATTTCCATACATTGATTGTAAGTACAAAAGTCCATAGATATCAAATATTAAACTTATGATAGTTGGCTGCTCTTTATTTATGAAATTGTTTAAAATGTTAATTATAATAATTACAAAATGCCTTTCTTTAGATGTCTATAGGAAATGCATATTACTAATTTGCACATGTGGCTATCCACCATCCGTCATTGGATGTTATTGTATTAATTTTACAACTGACAAATGTATGGCAGTGCTCCCAGCAAACAACCAAAGTGGAGGTTTTACCAAATTCATAAAACAAGGAAACATGAATAAAATTATAATGAATTTCTGAATGACCATCTCTGGAAAACTAGTCATTCTGACACCACAGTTCTTGTTAGGTTATGATATGTTGATTATACTGCTGTATAGACACAAAGTATTCCAATTCTGGTGCTAATTATTCCCTTGTGAACATTAAATAATGTTTGTTTATATTTTGCAGGATTACCATTGGTGGTGGAGATCTTTTCTGACCAGTGGATTTACAGCTTTCTATCTATTTATATATTGCATTCATTATTTTGTATCTAAATTGACAATAGAGGGTATGGCGAGTACTTTCTTGTACTTTGGTTACACTCTCATCATGGTCACACTTTTCTTCTTATTCTGTGGTAAGTGTTCTTTTCCGGTATCTAAATCTAATACAAATATGTCTCATTTAACTCCCAATACTAGCTGTTTCGTAATAGGTGATTTTTCCACTCACTGCAAGATCTCGCATAACACCACATGAAAAATGCAGTTTGAACATCTGCAACAAAAATCAAATTATTTGATTTTGAACTTTTTTAAAAAAATTTTACCTTTCAAAAAAGAATATGGCGGTACTTGACTATCATCAACTGTGTATACCATATTATTAAGTGTGGAAACACCCAAAAATACTTTTGCATTTGTCAAATCATGCAGCATGTTTTGATGTCACTAGGACCTTTGGCCAGTTTTTACATTTTATTTCATGCTTAACATGGGGTCTCGCACTGAACGAAAAATGATCTATTGACGAATGGAGTAGTTCATCCAAGTTACTGTTAATTATAAAAATGTTTTGAGTATTTGGTAATTCCTGCCATAGAATTAATTTGTCTCACTAGAATGTTAGCTATTTGTTACACTATTTTTATTTAAATACTAAATGAACTGTTTATATTGTTTTCAGGTACTGTTGGTTTCTTTGCATGTTTCTGGTTTGTTGTAAAAATCTACAGTGTGGTCAAAGTGGACTAAATCAAGTAGACTGGCTAACATAAAGAAGGCATTGGTACTTTGAATAGTTGGGACTCAAAATAAAAAGCTGCTGGGGAACAGTCTAAGTTTCAAAATGCATCATCTGATGCCCTGCTGCACTGTTGGCTCAGTGGTGTGAACATCGAGGAACTCCTTCTATGAATAAAAGTATATGGACTTGTTCATATCATCTGTGTTTGCCCAGTTGCAGTATTTTATTGAGTCGTCAGGTGGTTTATTTTGCACATTGGAAGGGCTGTTATTCATTGATGGTTTTCTCTCATTCTTGCTCACTTTGAATGTTGACACAAGTATTATATAAATCTATCCTATACACTCGTTTCTCATGTGCATAGTTAATATTACAATTCTTTTAATAGCACTGAGGCTGATATTGTTATTTTATCTCACTAGTTTACAAATTCAATGCATGTAGTTTTAATAAAACTATTATATGAATATACGGGAGAAAATTAATGCATAATGTTTATAACAATAAAGCTGTAAATATCTCTAAAATTCCTAATCTTTGAACAATTACACATTGACTTAATGTTTGTACTTGTTCTTCTACTGATGCTGTATGGGCTTGTCAATATTCAAAGTGGTTTAACAATGATTTATACGTTATGGTATATTTGCAATAATACATTGTAGTCAGTTTACTTATATGGGGCTCGTGTTATGTTAATTTGCGGAATAGTAGTTGGGCTTGACATGAGGGGGAAAATGCACCAATTTTGTGAATAGAAAATAGTGGTTTCACTTTAACAGTGACATTTACTCTATACATTGACAGCATTTATTTAGCCTTGCATCTGTCAATGATGTGTACCAAGTACATGTAGTAGGTTGTCACATGGTTCACTTCACCATTACATTTCTTACACACTTTAAAGTACAACAGAAATCAGTAATTGCATTACATCACATCTTTCTTGTGCTATTTATGCAAGCTACATTTATTTTTAAAGAACTTAATATATGTATAATTTGCAGTGAATGCCCCAAACAATTGTTACATTTAGTAAAAATACTGATTGTAGTGTCCATCTAGTTGTTTCATTGTTTGGACTATTCATCGCTCTTGGGTAATCACCATGTATTTTTAAATGTTACATGCGAAAGTGAGCGTTTTATTCAATTTACAATGAGTTGGACCCAAACAGTTATGCTGCAATGTTTGAACAAATGCCTTGTATACAAATAATACTGAATGCAATTAAAAGCCTGGTTTAGACAGGTTTAAAATTTTGTGAAATGACATTCAGTTCCTCCTGCAGATGCATTCGTTTTGTATATTATGACAAGGTATTAAAAAGATATTTGACTTTTTTGAACTGTTATCGGGCAAATAAACATTTCTCTATTTTTGTCTTTACTGGTGCCTTTCATTGATATGTTAAAATTGGTTTGTTCCTTTCAATTTAGTTTTTCCTATTCATACAAGGGGGTTGATATGTTTTTATGTCTAAATGTTATTTTTTAGATTGTGATTTCTAGAAACATTGTTGAATACAAAACTAGGGATCAGCAATTGTGATTTTCTGATTTAATAATCAACTATTTGAAAAAGTGTACATCATGAAAAGTTGTAATTGTACAGGTGTATATATGCTTTGTTATATCTGTCCTCCCACTGGGCACCAACTGCACCTTGAGTGTGATGATATGAATCCCTCTGCTTACAGACATCAGAGATCAGCAAAACTACACATTGAGTGAATTAGAATCATCCAAATGTAGAAATGCAAAATAGCTAAACTCCGCCACGCACACTGGTCTAAAAGGTCATGTCTGATATTATTTTAAATTTCATTGTGTTGCATTTTTTCGGACACATTTATTTCTGCTTTGATTACAAGGTTTATCAATTGTCTTTGGAGAATCATAATTTAATGTACATGTATTTTATTTCCTCTGGTGTATATGGTTGATAATTAAATACAGTTAAACAAAAATTCTTGTGCTTTTGTACCTTAATGGCGACATATGCCATTCGTTGTTGTGTATGCTTAAAATTGGATTGTTGGAAAAACGTAGTTGAAAGCCTTATGAATTTTGAGTAACTTTGCCACAAAAATCAAATCTGAAGGTAAATCCATCCACGAGTTGTACGGATTGTTCATTTTGTTGCTGTGATAACGAGTAAAATAGTTGCATTGTGGATCATAGCAAAGGTTGTATTACAGGAATCATTATGCATGGCATGTACAAATTCTGATACAATGAGATAAAATTAGACCTATCCCCTGGAGGACCTTGTTGATTACTTGTACATTTGGTAGGTCCTTTGTAAGCAAGTACCAGCATCTAGGACATTCTTCAGTGAAGCAGCCACAACTCATTTCAAATTAAATTGTATCTCAATTCACATCAATGCATAAATTGTCCAGTAGGTTAAGTAACTATGGATAGTTATTGTACACCATTAAAGTTTGACCTTGGTGTGTTTGTGCAATCTTAACAGAAATGCCTAGCCAAGCTGATTACAAAAAACCCTCCTGGTTTAAATAAGGATATGCCTGGGGGGGTATGGTTAAATATCAATATGATTAAAGGTAATAGTTTATGGGTTTTATTTCCTTAATATTTTTATGTATGTATTTGAAAGTGCGAGTTGTGTGGCATTGTGAACATAAAATAACATGTATCCTTAAATCTGTATTAGAAGCTTGCATACCTAATAGAAGCCACATCCCTTTTTTTTGAGCAATTGAGAGCCAAAAATTAACCATTTCTCATATGTGTTGATAATCTAATGAAAAATCTCATTGAACCATTGTAATAGAAGTCACAGCTTCTAATACAGATTTTACAGTATCTAGTGAAAAAAAGTAATAAACAAATTGAACAAAAATATCACTTCATAGATATTAATCAGGTTAAATGTTTGCAATTTGTAAACCTAATTCAGGATATTAATTGTTTAGCTAAGATTGGATATGCTGTATAAAGCTTTCTGCACATCCTTGGTTAATCGCTCTTAAAAGGTAACGTCACACTCATTT